CTGAGCTCGTAGATGATGATAAATAACATAGTTATGTATAATATATTACATTTCTGACTGTATATCCCTGTAATTATTACACACTGTAGCTTTAATTCCTACATACAGGCCCCAACTAATCAGGGCTGAACCAACAGTAAAGGAAGTCAGAGTGTGGTCTAAGGGGGCCATCGAGAAACTGCAAGCACGACTGTTTTGAATGCTCCGTCTGGAACTTGTTCAAGTTGCAGGGACCTATGACAACAAGCTAAATATAGATGAGTATGCCATGACTGTGTCAGCCTACATCAACAAATGCATTGAGGATGTCAGCATCACAGAGAACATCATCACGCAGGGCAACCAATGACCCTGGATGAATGGGCAGGTTCGGAAATCGCTAAAAAGCATGGAACTCAGCCTGCTTTAAGTCTGCCACCACCATTCTGCTCCCAAAGAGGCCTCAGGTCACCTCACTCAATGACTACTAGCCTGTTGCACTGACTCACATCATGATGAAGTGCTTAAAAAGGCAGTTTAAAGAACACATTGTCTCCAGTCTGCCCCCAACATTCAACCCATTCCAGTTAGACTATCCTTGAGTGCTAGACTTCCTCACAAACAGACCTCAGTCAGTCCGGATCGGACAGAACCCCTCTGATGTCATCACCCTGAGCACAGGCTCCCCTCAGGGCTGCGTCCTCAGCCCCCTGCTGTTCATTCTGTTGACACACAACTGTGGCCCCAGGTTCATCACCAATTTTGTACCACAGTGGTGGGCCTCATCACAGACAACAATGACCAAGACCCCAGAGAGGAGGTGAAGGAGCTGGGGGACTGGTGCAGAGATAACAGCCTGATCCTGAACGTGGAGAAGACGAAGGAGATCATCATTGACTTCAGGAAAAAACGGCCAAACAACGAAGCGCAGCTCATCAACAGCTCAGCTGTAGTGGTCGTCAGCAGCAACAAATTCCTCGGGGTGCACATCACAGACACCCTCAACTGGACTGGAAACACCACCTCACTGGTCAAAAGGGCACAAAAGCGTGTTCCGAGCCTGTATTATAAATGATCGGTCCAGCAGATTGTGCAACAGGTTCTTCCCCACTGCCATCAGACAGCTTAATGTTGAAAAAACTCTAAATCATGCCCCAGACTCTGCATCCCACTGATAATACCAAACCAAAAACACTGCATATTTGCACCATATGTATTTAATGGTCTGATCTGTCAATGCATTTTTTGCACCATGTTTTTTTCTCCCACACTGTTTACATTTGACTGCTGCTGCACTTTATGGAATGGAAATGTTAATTTAGTGTCTGCAAAGCTGTACTAAATGAAATTTAGTTTTTGTATACAATGTGTGACAATACAAGTTTTTCAAGTGTTAAATACTTGTCATTCAAAGATAGTCTCATTAAACCACTTTGTGTGAAATGTGAAACGTTTTGTTAAAAAAAGTGTAGTATAGAATAGAATAGTTATTTTATACAAATAGTCGATTGTGCTTAAAATGCATCAACAAAATTTAAAGTAACTTTTTATTTTTATTTTAAACATGATATTTTTCTGGATTTAAACTCTGCTAACAGTCAGTTCATGGTGTTTCTCAGGTTAATTGTGTAAATGACTGATTCTAGCCTTTTGTTTTAATTTTCTTGAATTAGATTAGGTAACAGAATTCTGACTTTGAGGAGTTTATGTTCTTGCCAACAGCAACGGTTGATCTTTTGGGAAAATGTTGTGCCCTTTCTGTTGGGGAACAGGTGGCAAAACTTGGATTCATAAAAAAAAATATTCAATAAGCAGTGTTTATTGAGAACGTCTGCATTCATTTAATATATGAAAAGTTAACGGTGTCCTTTCTTACCACCACTGTGCCCTGTGGTTGAGCGGTGAGCGGCTGCCCAACAGCTACCACCTGCTGATGAGATTCACTTGAGGGGCTGATGATCTGCACACTCTGGCCCTGGATAGAATACGCTGTGGAGAACACAGATAAACAGACTTTCAACATCTAAGTAAAGAACAGCCTACATATAAACTCTGTTCATTTGGTCAGCTTAGATCCACTGAAGATCCAAGCTTAATTCATCAGATTTGCTGCAAAAGAAATAATACCCAGCTTGAAATATTGTTGCTTTATGCGTCGCAATGCTAAAGATCAAAGTACATTTTTTTTAACTATAAAAATGATTTTAAACAACGAATCGGTACCTTTGCCGGAAACGTTAGCACTGTTGCTACTCAGCACAGTCAGAGCGTAATGCGGCGGCAGCGAGGCCTTGCAGATGGCCGTGATGAAAGCGTCACGAGGCGTCACCAGGCACAGACGACCGCACAGCGATGCCATGGTCATTTCTGCTTTCAGGATGTTTTCTGTTGCAGCTTCGTCCGTGCTGAAGATTTAGCGCAGGAGAGGAAAAAAAAAAAAAAAAAGAGTTAGCTTCAGAAATCTGCTAAATTTTATTTTTATTCTTGAATCATTTTCGGCAAAACAATTTAGCTGCTTTAGGGATAAATATAGTCAGAATTACACTAAAGAATTAAAATAATCATAACATCAATACCTCTCAGCTGCATATTATGGTCAGTTTAATTTCTCTGTTACAAATCTATCAGCCGTCCGTGAAACTTTACACCCTTACTTTATTGTAATAGTGAATGTAGTGCTTAACTGTGAGCTAAAATATTTATGGATTTCAACATTTTCCACAAAAGAAAGTCTGTGTGTGGTTAATTTATATTCAGCATCCATGAGTAAAAACTTAAAGCTGCATTTAAAGCAGAAGGTTGAGTATTTTAGGGGCATCTCTACCCACTGAAGGAGTTCCTTCAGCAGAAGACTCCTCTTACCCAGATGCACCACAGGAAATCCTTCCTGCCTGTGATCATCAAATATCTACAATCCCTTCCTTAGAAAGTCATACAACCCCCCCTCTGTAATTCAGACTCAGATTACAGAATTTTTGACAATTTTGACATTTATTCATTCTTTAGCTCTCTTTTGCACATTGCTATTATTACTTTTTTTCATCTGTGTGGTAATTTATTTCTTTAGATGAGGAAAGTGTGCAATATGTTGTTTGTA